TGCTACAGACCGTGAAACCACTGTACCAAAGGAAAAAAGCCCATCACAAAAGACCATATATCATACAGTTCATCCATATTAAGTCCAAAATAGGGAACTCTATAAAGACAGAAAGTAGATCAGTGGTTGCTTAGAGTTGAGGGCAAAGAGGATGAGGGAATTAGGGTGTGGGATGATAGCTAAAGGGTACAGGGTATCTTTTTGAGGTGATGTTGGACATATCAGTGAATAGAGTAGAAACCATTAAACTGTACCTATCAAATGGGTAAATTGTATGGTATATAAATTATATCTCAACACAGCTGTTTTTAAAAAGGAACCAGGTAGTTAATATAAATTCCTGATTTAAAAAAAAAAAAAATACCATCTTCTACTCCACGCAAAACGCTACTTAAAGGTCAAGCACTGTTAAGCTTAGGGTTGTGCCATTTAAGGAATAAAACAGTACTCATAAACAACTTAAAGCCTTGCCTCTCAGGTACCATAAAAGAACAAGCTTCTAACAGATTTTTTCCCTTCTCATTCCTTTCTCTGTTTCCATCCTTTTTCTGTTTTATAGTCACAATAGAAACTTACAGTAGGGGTCTGAAATATTTTATTTACTGATAGGGCTTTATGTGAGCTCCTATTAATTTTCAAAGGGGAGGAATTTAATATTGGGTTAAAAAATATACACGTAAGAAAAAAAATTCTCAATATCACTAACCATCAGCGAAATACAAATCAAAACCACAATAAGGTATCATCTCACCCCAGTCAGAATAGCTATTAAAAAGTCGAAAAATAGGGCATGGTAGCACATGCCTGTATTCCCAGCTACTCAGAAGGCTGAGGCAGGAGAATCACTTGAGCGTGGGAGGTGGAGATTACAGTGATTCGAGATCAAACCACTGCACTCCAGCCTGGGTGACACAGCAAGACTGTCTCAAAAATAAATAAATAAATAAATAAATAAATAAAAACAAATAAAAACTAAAAGTCAAAAAATAACAAATGCTAGCAAGGATGTGAATCTCTTATACACTGCTGATGGGAATGTAATTAGTATAGCCATTATGGAAAACAGTATGGAGTTTAAAATACAACTACCATATGATCCAGCAATCCCACTACTGGGTAAATATCTAAAGTAAAAGAAATAAGTATGTTGGAGGTATCTGTGCTCCCATGTTTACTGCAACACTATTCACAATAGCCAAGATTTGGAAGTAATCTAAGTATCATCAACAGATGAATGGATTAAGAACATGTGGTATATACACATGATGGAATATTACTCAACTACAAAAAGGAATGAAATCCTGTCATTTGCAACAACATGGATGAGCTTGGAGGACATTATGTTAAGTGAAATAAGCCAGGCACAGAAAGACAAAAACCGCATGTTCTCACTCATATGCAGAAGTTAAAAAAGTTGACTTTATGTAAGTATAAAGTAGACGAGTCATTACTAGAGTCTGGGAAGGGGCAGTAGTAAAAAATGGGGTAACATATAAAATTACAGCTAAATAGGAAGAATAAATTGTCATGTTCTAGAACACCATACATTGATTAAAATTAACAACAATTTACTGATATTTGCAAAGGGCTAGATGACCAGATTTTGAATGTTCCTAACACAACAACTGATAAATGTTTGAGGTAATGGATAAGCTAATTACCCTGATTTGATCATTACACATTGTACACATGTATTAAAACATCATACTGTATTCCATAAATATGTACATTATGTGTCAATTAAAAATAGTAAGAGTAAAAAATACACTACGTGTACAGATACACTAACACATAGGCATTATAAGTTTAACAAGTATGCCATTGAAGCTTTTCACTTAAATTTCAATTGATCTTCACTTAATATGATTATCATTTAAATTTCAATTGATCCCCCTGCAAATTACATGCGCTCAAATGAAAAAGTTCCTACATGAATAATATAATAAACTCTGACTTACTTAAGTTAAAAGACATTCATTTATATATCTTACTTTCAATTTTATGTTTTAGGTAGTATATGTTTTCTTACGTAATAACTATTCAAGTCTGAAGATCTACATCAGAATCACCTAGGGCCTTGCAACTCAATGTTGTCTGTGGACCAGAAGCACTAATATCAGGAAAGCTTGTTAAAAATGCAGAATATTGGGCTCCCAGTCCTACAGAATCGGAATTTGCGCTTCAACAAGATCCCTATCTATAAAGATTGCAAAACACAGATCTACAACACTTATTAAACATGCAGTTTCCAGTGAGGTACAGGCATCTGCATTTTAAAGATGAATAGTGTGGATTCTCTAGCACACTACAGTTTGAAAAGCACTGTTTAAAAGAAAAGTGAAGTACTGAAAGAACATTCCTCTAAAACAGTTTTGATATACTAAGAAATACTGCTAAGCCTGTAATCCCAGCACTTTGGGAGGCGGAGGCGGGTGGATCACAAGGTCAAGAGATCGAGACCATCCTGATCAACATGGTGAAACCCCGTCGCTACTAAAAAAAAACACAAAAAATTAGCTGGGCATGGTGATGTGTGCCTGTAATCCCAGCTACTCAGGAGGCTGAGTCAAGAGAATTGCCTGAACCCAGGAGCCGGAGGTTGCAGTGAGCCGAGATCGTGCCATTTGCACTCCAGCCTGGGTAACAAGAGCGAAACTCCGTCAAAAAAAAAAAAAAAAAAAAAAAAAGGAAATACTGCTATATATCCTTCCCAAGTTTGAAAAGAAAAAAAAAAAATCTGACTTTACAAATCTCATAGCCACACCACCTTCCGAAAATTAGTAACCGAAATGAGTACATTGAATAAAGGGCTGAGATGAACAATCAAAAACAAATGTGTTTACAACTTTCACAGAGCATTACATTAATTACTGAAAAAAGGTTAAACACTCTGCTTTTTTTTTTTTTCCTTTTTTGCTTTGAGCAAAAATCAAGAAAACACTGTTTTGTTTTTAAAGATGGGGTTTCACCATGTTGGTCAGGCTGGTCTTGAACTCCCGACCTCAGGTGATCCGCCCGCCTTGGCCTCCAAAGTGCTTGGATTACAGGTGTGGGCCACCGCGCCCGGCCAACATTCTGTTTTTCAAAAAAGTTCAGTGGGGTGCAGTGGCTCACTCCTGTAATCCCAGCACTTTGGAAGACTGAGGTGGGTGGATCACGAGGTCAGGCGATCTAGACCATCCTAGCCAACATGGTGAAACCCTGTCTCTACTAAAATACAGAAAATTAGCCGGGCATGCTGGCACGCGTCTGTAGTCCCAGCTACTTGGGAGGCTGAGGCAGGAAAATCACTTGAACCCGGGAGGCGGAGGTTGCAGTGAGCCGAGATCGCGCCACTGCACTCCAGCCTGGCGACAGCGCAAGACTCCATCTCAAAAAAAAAAAGTTCCAACCACATGGGAAACATAGATTATAGTTCTTTTTACTCAAGTCTAAACAACCCCCAACAGAACACTTAGCATTCTAGTTTACACTACAGTCAATCAAGTTTGTCCTGATTCTTGCTGGTAGAAAAACTACATCCTCCAAAAGGAATACAGGTCTTAGGATCCTGCACACTTTCAACACATGGACACATTAAAATAGCTGTTTAGTAAGTATAAAGGGCTAAAAGGATACTAATCTCCGAAAATATATTATGCACAATAATTTTTACTAATTTTAGGGGGTGCTGGTTTTAACTCAAGCACACTTTTACTATTAGGTTGGTGGGTGCAAAAGTCATTGCAGCTTTTGGCTATTAAAATTATTTTTGCATCAACCTAATAAAGGCAAATTTTCAAGATTTCTGAGAGACACAAAGAAGATCAGGACACTAACACTAGCCACAGGAACCTATAACCTGAGGGGAGGTAGGGTTTGTCTGGGACACAGCACATGCAATTAGCAAAATGTGATCAGTGCTGAAAACCGTTACCGGGTTTCCAGTTTCAGGTAACTGAATTTCAGATAATGGATATTTTACAGTAACAATTGATTTAGTGCAGAGTTGAACAAGCCAAGAAAGCTTATTAAAAGTACTTTATAAGGAAGTACAGCCTACAGTAAACAATTCTCTGGGAAATTTCTTACATCTTAATTCACATACACACACTTAAAATTGGGCAGTGAGGTGTGTGTGGGTACTCTCATCAAATGCAAAGCAATTCAAATGTGAACTGGATACAGGAGGCCCAACAGAGTTAAGTTCACAGAGGGTGTTTCCTCTAACAAAAACAGGAACACACAGCTTCAGAGATCGCTGATCATGCGAGAAAAGAGGAAAAAGGAGTGGAGATCTGTTTCTATTTCTCCCTTGGTAACTTAGGGGAAAAAAAACCCAAACACAACAGCAGTTTCCTGGACTAATCCCGCCTTCAGCTTTACATTTCATAAATACTATGACCTTTTAAAAGTCTAGGAACTAAAGACAAACAACAACAGGCAAATACATATACCCATTTAGCAGTCCAAATCAGAAGCCGTTCCCTCAAGGGTCACCAGTAGTCCGTGAAGGACTATTCCTGGGAGAGTGCACCCACTCGCTCCCCACAGACCCTCAGCGCTCACTTCACTGAGCTCCCCTGGCAGCGGCACACCCTCCCTTGGGAAAGGAAAAGTGTCTCTCCAGAAGGGCTACCGAAGCCCCCATGGAGCTCCTTGGAGGTTTACTGGGATGCAGAGCAAGCCCTTTTCTGGCTTGGAAGAGGAGGAGGTGCAAGTGACACCGAGAAAGGCCAGCTGAGCTGGGAAAGGGCGCTGCAATGTCCCGGCCCCTCAGAGGATTAAGTCGGCACCCCGGGCCGCAGGCTGCTCTTCTGAGGAGGCCTTGCCGCTCAACCCAGGCCACAGCCCTCTGACAGGCACCGGAGGTGGGGACCGCGTCACAGGTGTCACCCCAAGACGGTCCTTGCAAACCCGGGGAGGGGGGTGGAGAGGACAAGTCGGGGCAGAGGAAAGGCACCTAAAGGTGAGACGCGCTGCAGCGGCGCAGCGCAGCACCCACAGCGACGCGGTCTCACCTCTAGCGTGGAGACAGTGCTGGTGAACAGGTCCTCTCCATCTTCCAGCTCCTCAAAGTCGGTGGGCTTTCCGTCCCTCAGCGGAGGAGGTTCCCTCTCGGCCGCCATCTTCGCTCGCCGGGACGACTGAGCGAGCTGGGCCTAGCGGACCGGTCACGTGAGCACGCACGGCTGGGCCCGCGCCGACCCGCCAGCTGCTCCGCCCCCAGCCGGCCTCTTACAGCCCCGCCCAGCCGCGCTTGGCCCCGCCCCCGGCCTCTGGACGGCGCCCACCAGGAGCTGCTCTCGCCCCGCCCCTTTGTCCCGCCTCCTCTCAGCAGGTCCGGGACGTGGACTACTTTTCGCCGCCGACTTGATGATCTGATTTATGTGGCAGAATCTTGGACTTTATTACCACATCACCTTCTTGGCGGGACTGGGCTAAATGACTTCTGTTGGCATTACCAGTTTTTAAATCTTCTGTAGGAAGTGGAAGAGCCTGGGGACCAGTCTTTGGGCTTGGATTGCACACAGACTGAGAGCGAGATTCAGTATTGGTGGGCAAGAGACACATACTGTCTCTTAGATCTCTCTAGAACTGTCCAGTAGAACTTTCTGGCATGATGGAAATGTTTTCTATCTGTGCTGTTCAATACAGTAAGCTACCAGCCACCTGTGACCCCTGAATGCTTGAAATGTGGCTGGTGTGTGGAACTCAGTTTTATAAAATTTTATTTAATTTTAATTAATTTAAATCTAATTAGCCACGTGTAGCCAGTGATTACCTATTCAGTTATTACCGCTCTAGATAACGAAAGGGCGCTGAATAATTTCTCCTCTGCGATTCATTCCAGTTTTATCTTGGGCCACATAATATTTTTCTCAATAAGATCAGTCAGAAAACTGATAGGAAAATCAATGGATGATTGTTAAGAGCACGTAGTCACATTCCCTGGCCTGCACTCCACCGCCATATGGAATGTCCGGAGTCCGTCACGGTTCAGAAATTTTAACCTTTTATGAAAGCTCCCGGCCTGACTTGAGGTGATTATTATCCACATCCTTAATTTTTACATATGCCTCTATTTATTGCTTACTGCTTTCTGACTTATGCTATGATCATATATATTCCCAGCTTATCTTTTTTAGTGTACATCTGAAATAGGTGAAATATAGGTCCTGGTGCTCATTACAGAGACCCACATTCAAAGTGGCTTGAAAAATGAACAAGTTTAATTGCCTCTCATGTAAGACTAGGGCTGGTGTGAAGGTTCTATGAGATCATTCAGGGATATGGGCCCCTTCTGTTGTTCTGCTCTCCATAGGATATAGTCCATTACTCATGGTTCAAGTCAGCTCACCACCACAGTTACACCACATTCCAGCCAGCAGAAAAAGAGTAAAAGGAAAACAGTATTACCTTCCTTTTAAGGGCACAGTTCAGAAGTTGCACACACTGCTTCATTCCACATTCCTTTGACCAGCTCATTAGCTACATGGCTATCTCTAGCTACAGGAGACATTAGGAAATACAGTCGTTATTTCTCCCCCTAAAAATTAGGGGTTCACTTACCCTAGAAGAAAGTAGAGAACTAGTGGTCTTGCTAGTGCAATCATTCATGGTTTTCATGGTAGCATACCTGAATTTTCTTCTCAGCTGTGCGTTTTCTGCACCTCAAAGAGGAGTACATCACCTAGGCTTAAACCAAACATATTATTGATTCCCTTAATCTCAGCGATTTGTGGGGGATCAGAATCAGGTGCATTTTCCCTCAACTCTCAGCATCTTTGATTGATTGTCTTTCTTTTCCTAGTCAATCTAAATTCTATGAGCCAGAACTGCAAGAATTCTCTTGCCATTTTTCTCAGCTCTTCTTCTTCCTTGGTTCCTTGCTTTTCTGTTTCATCTTCTCTGCAATCCCAAATTCAGCCATCAGTTTCTCTAATATTGTATCCAGATTGCTAAAGTATTTGAATAATAAACCCCAACCTCAGATTGAAAATTGTGTAAGTCCATCATTTCCAATCCCTACTTTACACTGCCTAAATACCATTAGTTGTTTCCTTTCCAATTCCTTCAACTATTCTTCCCAGCATAGGTGCTAAAAAGTCATTTTCTCCTCAAGTATACCAGCATCTTTTTCTCTACATTTTCATCAAATGATTTAGCCTCTTCAATGACAAAATAAAATCCACTAAGTGAATCTTTTCACCTTCAAGTACGATTGAAATTCTCTTCTCTTTGTGCTCCCATCAGTTGCTGTGTATATTTTAACACCTACCATATTGTGCTGTGGTCACGGGAACACTGTTCTATCACCCCTAATAATGAAGGATCATTGATGTCAGCAACCATTTATTATTTGATGATGGATCCTGAGTAGCCAGCTCTGCATTAGTTATTTATTGCTGTAAAACAAATTACATAAACACACAGCAACCTGTAACCATAGATATTTATTTTCTCATGGTTTCTGTGGATCAAGGATCCTCAGCCAGGCATGGTGACTCACGCCTGTAATCCCAGCACTTTGGGAGGCTGAGGCGGGTGGATCACCTGAGGTCGAGAGTTCGAGACCAACCTGACCAACATGGAGAAACCCCGTCTCTACTAAAAATACAATCATTGGCTGGACATGGTGGCGAGTGCTTGTAATCCCAGCTACTCAGAAGGCTGAGTAGCAGGAGAATCGCTTGAAGCAGGGAGGCGGAGGTTGCAGTGAGCCAAGACAGTGCCATTGCACTTAAGCCTGGGCAACAAGAGCAACACTCCATCTCAAAAAAAAAAAAAAAAAATCCTCAACTCACCACCACAATTACACTGCATTCTAGCCAGCAGAAAAGGAGTCAAAGGGAATCAATGATGTTACCTTCCTTTTAAGGGCACATTCCAGAAGTTGCACACACACCACTTTCGTCCACATCCCTTTGACCAGCTCATTAGTTATACAACTTAACTAGGTGCCCCTGACTCAGGGTCTCTCAGAAGGTTATTGACACGGGAGGCAGTCATCTCAAGACTGAAGTGGAGAGGACCTGCTTTCAAGTTCACTAGCATAGCTGGCAGCAGGCATCAAGTTATTTCTGGTTATTGGCCTGAAATATGAGTTCCCTGTCATACAAGCCTCCTCGTAAGGCTTCCCACACAACATGTCAGCTTGCTTCTCCCAGAGTAAAGACCTCTGAGAAAGATAGAAGGAGACAGCTCTAAGAGAGGGTGAGAGAGAGTGAATAAGAAAGAAGCCAGAGTGTTTTTATAACCCAATCTCATAAGTAACATCTCATCACTTTTGCTTTACTCTGTTCATTGGAAGCCTACACTCAAAGGGAGAAGTAAAACAAGGGTGTGAATAACAGGAGGCAGCATTCTGGGAGGATATTATAAAAGTTTCCACAAGGCCCCATAGTGCTTAGCATTCATTAAGATAGACACTCTGTCAATACCCTCAACAAAAGAATGAATGAATGAAGCTCAGAAGAGTGACCTAAGTGGAAGATACAGATTTGGTAGCTGGAGCCACTGGTACATGAGAAGGCCTAGGCGGTCTGGGAAGCACAACCCAAAGGATGATGTACAGTTTTAGACATATAATCTCAGATGTTTTAGAGGCTGAGGCCGGAGGATCCCTTGAATCCAGGAGTTTGAGACCAGGCTGGGTTACATAGAGAGATCCTGCCTCAAAAAACAAAACAAAACAAAAAAGAATAAGAAAGCAAGAAGAAAGAGAAGAAAGGCGGGCCATAAATGAACCGGAGGAGCAGCTGTCAGAGAGATAGGAAGCAATTCAAGAGAGAGGGCTATAAAGAAAGTAAAAGGACAAAGAAGAGAGCATTTGTAGTATCACATGTCTTGGTAGATTAATAAGATGATAGCTGAAAAGGTGAATGGTTAATGGATAAAAATAAATGGGTATAGCAAGTTGTGATGGTTAATTTTATATGTCAGCTTGGCTGTGCTATGGTACCCAGATATTTGGTCAAACATTATAGTGTTTGTTCTGTGAAAATTTTTATTTATTTATTTTTTGTTTTTTTCTTTCTTTTTTTGTTTTTTTATTTTTTGTTCGTTTGTGAAGATGCTTCTTGGATAAGATTAACATTGAAATTGGAAAACTTTTAGTAAAACAGATTACCTTCTATTATGTGGGTGGACCTCATCTAACTAATTAAGGCCACAATAGAACAAAGACTGGCCTCTGAGCAAGAAATAATTCTACCAGCAGACTGCCTGTGCACTCCAATTGTAACTTTTCCCTGAGTCTCTAGCCTGCTAGCCTATATCATCAGATTTTAAATTCACCAAGCCTACACAATTGCATAAACCAATTGCTTAAAATAAATCTCTCTCTATAAATACTCATATACATCCTGTTGGTGCTGTTTCTCTGGAGAACCCTAACTAATCCATTAGTATAAATTATTATCCTTTCAAGGAATATAAATGAAAAGAATCTGACAGAATACGTCAATAGCTTGTGGGAGGCACAGGTTTATTTTTGTATGTTTGTTTTATTTTAATGGGAAAGATTTGAACACGCTTATATTAATATAAGAGGGAAAGAGGTCAAAAGGGAGCGAGAGGTTGAAAATACAATGTAGACAGGAATAATCAAAAGGATGAGATCTGAAATGCAAAAATGGATAAAGGGCAAGTAGACAAATTTGCCTTACAAAGGAAAAAGGATTCTTCTTCCACTGAGAGTGGAGAGATGGAGATAAGAGTTTGTACTAGTCAGCCATTGTTACATAACAAACCATCCATATTGTTTCTCGTGAGTCTGCAGATTAAGCTGGCAGTTCTACTGGACCAGATTTGGCAAGTCTTATTTTCAGGCTTGTTCTTGCCCTGTGGTCAACTGATAGATAGGTTGGGACTGGCTGGACTAGGAAGGTCTTGGCTAGGACAATTCAGCTCTGCTCCATGTGCTCTCATCCTCCAGCAGGTTAGCTTGGGCTTCTGTTCAAGGTCCTGGCAGAGCTCCAAACAGAAAGCAGAAATATGCAAGTACTTCTTCAAGCCTCCACAAAAGGAAATTATATGACCAAGCACAGGATCAGAATGGGAAGGGACTACAAAATTGTAGGGCAAAGAGTGTGGAAAAGAGAGGTCATTAATTGGGGCAATTGATGCAATCACTTTACCTCAGTGGATGTATTTATAGACTTGTTTGTAAATATAGGGGCAAGAAATGGAAAAAGTCAATACCCAAAAGCAATATTTGTGGGGGGGTG